GACCTGTCGCCTATCACCTGTCGCCTATCACCTGTCGCCTATCACCTGTCGCCTATCTGCGAGGACACCCTAATCGACGACCGCCGTGGCGTTTCAACTGTGATGTCAGAGGTGCAATCCATCAGTGAGTGGCGTGTCCGAGGGAAGGAGTGTTGGAACACAAACAAGGCTTTTCATCATGAAAGGGTTTTCTGGGCGGCACTCACCGGCGTTGGACGGCGAGCCTGGCGTGCCGGTTTGGGCGGCAACCACCACTGTTAGGATCGCATCGTCCAGGCGCTGCCGACTCAGCTCCACGTCACCAGGCGGCGTGCAGGCGACCTGCCAACTGTTGCTGACGAAGCTGGGGTCCTCGCACGACTTCCCGTCCAAGCAGCCCAGGCCAGCAGACCACGGGCGAACCACCGTGTGCCACGTGGCAGGCCCCTGATCCACGTTCGTCCCCGTCACCTCCTCCACCACTCGGAGCGCGGCGGCCGGCAGAGATGGCAGGAGAATCTTGGCGATTAGCGACGCGGGAGAGGATATTAACTCTGTGTCCGAAGCGCCACTATCCGAGTCGGATTCGGATTCGGAGAGTGTGGTTGGGAAGAGCTGCGCGGGAAGCTTCGGCGGCTCGGCCCATTCCGTTGATTGCGGAAGCGCGTCTTTAAGAACGACGAAGCCTTCGCGAAGCAGCTGCTCGCGAAGCTTCTCGACATCGACGGATGATGTACTTTTCTCCGCGTTTGCCGGCGCAGTAGTAGGCGCGACAGCGGCGGATGCGGCGGAAGAGCCGCCGGAATTCCCGGTGGGGGAACGACCCCGAGGCCGAGCAGGTTGAGCCGACGGCGCGCTGCGCCACCGCCGCTCTTGAGAAGCTGGGAAGTAATGGCAGGTTGACACGTGGACCGTGCAGAGCGCGGCTGGGCTGCCACGTGGCTCAGAAGAGGAAGAGTTTTTGGCACGAGCGGCGAGTGCAGATCCGAGGAGGAAAAGCCGGAGTTTCTGAAGGCCGCGGATTCGCCAGTGCGCACGAGAGAATGAGTCGGACACACGATGGTTGTCGAAGCCATGGCGTCAACGGCTGGTGCGGTGCCTGAATGTTCTCAGCCGATGGTTTCGAACGAGAGCAGACGTGAACAGGGTCCTGTGTATTCCTCACGAAGCGGAAGGGATTATTGGTAAAGCAAGAGAAAGAAGCGCAAAACTATGGCCTGCCAAACTAGCCAAGGGTGAAAGGAAAAAGGAAGAATGGATAGATAGAGGTGGTTTGTAGAATAAATACGGGGGAGATATGAGAATAGCCGTGCGATAGATTTTCGCGAAGCCAGTGTCTGATGACATGCTACATAGAATTCGTTCGCGATATTATTGGATAAAGACCCTGACCGCGGGCTGTCAGCGATGGTTCACGAGGAAATGCGCTGGCGTCGCTGCGCGATCCGGGTCCGGGTTAGGTGATTGGGGCTCCTCGCCACGTCACCACCAGAATGTGGCGCAGGATTTGTCTCGTCAGCCGCGTCTCCCTTCGCTGCTGGAGAGCCCTAGCCAAAACACGAGCCACGCGTGAGAAAGCGCCGCTTATGATTGGCTGTTGAGCGCCCTCGCACGTGCCGACGCTTGCCTGTAAAGAGATCGGCAGCTTTGCCTGAGCACAATCCTCGGTGTTCGCGAAACAAATCTCGCAATTCGCCGCATCCAGCCAGAAGAACCCTGTCCCCCGCCAGATTCCTTGCTTGGCTGTAACTTTCCTTCGTTATTTCCCTCGCTTGGTCGGTTCACTGGCGGCTGGAGGAAACCAGCGTCAATGCCGCTGGTAAACTTCGTCGGAATTCCCGAAGGCAGCACATCAATTGGCCGACTTTGGCGCTCAGGTGAGAACTCTTCCACACTATGATTACAAATAATTATGCAGAACATTCAACACATACATACCATATCTGAAGTATAAACAAGGTAGGGCTAACACCCCCACACGGAGAATGTCATAGAGACCTCTACAGAAACATCCCCTGAAAATGTCAGCTCTTTGGACCAACACCCGAAGCAGCATCCGTGCTCTTCCCCACGCCCATCTCATCCCCAAACCTCTCCCTCAGCATCGCATGCCAGTCATGGATGCACATGCGCCGTGACGAGTCGTAAAACCAAAACCTATTCTTCACCAGCCGGTCCTTCTTCGCCTCCTTCCCCGAAATCCAATTATTATGCAGAATCGTACACCCGCTGCACGCATTCGCAACATTCGGCTGGTTCCAGAAATCATGCACAGCCCCGTTCGGATACTTATCTCTCGGGAGAAAAATCGTCCTCAACCCGTTGCTCCACTGACACTCCTCCCGCTGAACCCTCCTCCCTCCAGCATCCGCCACGCTTCCTGGAAGCAGCAGCTCGCCATTATCCCCGCAAAGCACGTCATAAAAACTCGGCTGCTCGGACAGCTGCGTCTTGGCTGCGTGTGCCACGATCGCCTCAAACGCCTTCACAGTCATCGGATCCGCCCTCGCGAAGTAAAACCCCGAGTTGATCCGCCGGATGCCCGTGCCGGGCAGCGTGGCGTTAGGCTCGTTGCTCTGGATCGGGAACGTGCCAGGCCCGTACGACAGCAGGTGCGGGAGAGGGTCGGCGAACCATACGATGTCCACATCGGACCAGAGGACGGAGTACCCGGCCTTGAGAACCCGAAGCACGGCACGCGATTTGAGCTTTGTGAATTGGCGGAAGCACTTGGTGCCAAACTGGCACTGACCCTGATCTATCCCCCTCATAGTCGTACTCGCCGCTCGTAAAACACCGCCAGGCCTTGGGTGAATGCGAATCGGTACAAGTCCTCGTCGAGCGCGGCAACCACAAGGTTGTCCCCGAGCCCGAGCTTCCGTAAGTTACACACGAAATTCATCAGCATTTCCGCGTAGCCAAACGTAACCGCAACGAGTGTTACCACCTTCAGGTCCTTAGGCAGGCTCCCCACCCCAGCAGCCTTCCCTGCTGCCGTCGATCCAGCTTTCACCTGCCGAGACAACGGCTCGTCCGGGACGACCCTGGCTAGCTGTGGGAGAAGCTGCTCCATGGTGTGGGGGAGACCGACGGTGGAGTTGGTGCGGGCCACGGCGTTGATTGCGAAGTCGGCGCGGCGGTCGATGGAGACCACCCCGCACACCCAGAAGTCGCCCGAGTGGTGCTTGCGGGGGTCCGACTGGGTCTTGTACTCGTAGGCTGAGTACTCCACGAGCAGTTGGCTGGTCTCTCGCGTTTGAGCATGCAGATGTTCAGAGCTGAGAGGGGGAGGGGGGAGGGGAGAGGGGAGGGGAAATATTAAGAGGAAAAGAAGAGGAGTGTTTGAAACACGTGTGGTGCTTGCAGGGGTCCGACTGGGTCTTGTACTCGTAGGCCGAGCACTCGCACGAGCAGTTGGCTCGTCTCTCGTGCTTCAACATACAAATGTGAGAGCTGGGGAAGGGGGGGTAAGCGGAGAAAGGGAGGGGGGGGGGGGGGGAAGCAGAGAAAAAGGAAGTCTTGGTGGTGCTTGTGGGGTCCGACTGGGTCTCGTACTCACAGGCGGAGTACTCGCACAAACAGTTGGCTGGTCGCTGTCACTTCGACATGCATATGTTCGGAGCTGGAGGGAGGGAGGAGGCCGAAGAGAGGGGGAAGGGGTGGTTGGAGGAAGGGAGGGGTGAAGGGAGGGCGAGCAGGGGTGTGTTGAGTGGGCTGGCTGGAGAGGATGCAGAAGAAGGGTGTTTGCCTCGTCCTGGATAAGGTGAATAAAGGGGCTTACAGGGATTTCACTGGACTGAAAAGAGGGAGAAAGACAGAAGGCTGAAATCCAACAAGGCTTGGGGGGGAGAATGCGGAGGAACGGAGGGGCAGAGTGGACGGGAGGACCGGCCGAAAGAGGCGAGGCGGGGTAGGGAGAGGCGGGAAAACGGGGGAGGGTGAGGGAAAGAGGAAGGCCAATGGAGAGCAAAAACGTTATTGAAAGAAACGGATCACTCACAATCGGGTTCGTAGCAGGACGAGAGCCGCCAGGGCGTGTGCAGAGCCGTGCCCTTCTGGTTGGTGTAAGTGCCGTGGGTCTCAGCTAAGTGTATGTTAGCAAAGAGCTCCCAGCTGCTCTTCTTCCGCGTGCTCCAAAAATGCCCGCCCGCCTTGCTCTCCTCCACCTTGATGTGCGAATACGTGTGCGCCACGTGGATGCTCGTGATTGCGTCGCTCACGTCCACCACCTGTCGCAGCCCGCTCGCCACGGCTTCGTGAACGAACCAGTTATCGTATTTCCCGCGCCCGAACGAGAACGGCGGCATGTGCGCCGAGAAAAGCGGAACGTTCGGGACGTTGTTCCAAACCCAAAGATCCACGCCGCCATAAGTGTGCAGACTCCCCTCACGGCGCACGAACCGGCGGATCTCCGCCTCGCGCTGCGCTTCCGCCATCATTCCCACCGGCCCGGGCTTCCGCCGCCACGCGTCTTTCTCAAACGAGTACGGAAAATCCACCGCCACGTCCCATCGCGACGCGGTCAGGATCCACTCTTTAAAAAACGCCTGCACGCGCCCGATCGCGGGGACTATATCGGAGAGGAGGATGATATCGCCGTTGATCAGCATCGAGAGCGGAGTGTCCGCGGCTTGCGCGCGCGCGACCATGGCGTGGAAAAGCGGCACGCCGTAGAAATTAGTATCTATAGTCGAGTCGACGAAGACCGACCCTGGGAACTCCTGCGCGAGCTGGTCGAAGCTCGGATCGGATCCTAAGAGGACGACTTTAGGCTGGGGGCGGAGGCGCAGCCAGGAGAGTAACGCGCGGCGCTGCGGGTCTTCTGGATATTTAAGTACGGCTTCGGAGCGCAGAAGATGGTCATAGAGGGGATGTGTCTCGCCCAATCAGGGAGCGGCATGTTCTGGTTGTGGACCATGTCGAGATCATCCACGTCGACCAGCTCGTCCGACGACGCCGACGCTCGCAGGATGCGCCGACGTGGCAGGCTCGGCGCGTCCGGCCAGTCGTCCATCCCGGGGAATGCCTCTCCTGACGACGCGCCGTCGCGGTGATTGGCGCCGGAGCGTACAGCGGAGGGATTGGCTGCGCGGAGAGAGCGCTGATGCCTGTGCGGGGGAGGGGGCGTCAAGGGGAGGGTGGGGCGTCAAAGGGGAGGGAGGGTAAGAGTCCAGCCAGTCATCCATCCCGGGAAACGCGTCGCCTGACGACGCGGCATCGCCGGCGCTGTGACCAGCGCCGGATCTCGCGGCGGTGGGGTCGGTTCCGCGAAGGGAGCGCTGATGCCTGTGGGGGGGGGGAGGGGGCGTCAAGGGGAGGGTGGGTAAGAGGAGTAATTTCTGAGAATTCTCAAAAAGGGGAGGGAGGGTGTGCATCCGGCCAGTCGTCCATCCCGGGGAACGACGCCTCGCCTGGCGACGCGCCGTCGCCGGCGCCGTGACCAGCGCCGGATCTCGCGGCGGACGGATTGACTGCGCGGAGAGAGCGGTGATGCCTGTGGAAGGGGGGGGGGGGGGGGAAGGGGAGGGAAGAGGGGGGGAGGGTCTAGGGGAGGGAAAGTCGAGGGGAGGGAGGACCCCCGGGAGGATAAAAGGGAGCCCGGTTTTTAGGTTACCGACGGATGCATGTGGTCTAGATGGCAAATATAGCGACTCGATTGGAATGACAATAGCTCGAGCGAATGACGCCAATGCGAAGTATCAGAGCAAGCGAGATCCATCAACACGATCCGAAGTGGCTCACCTTGGGAGTGTCGACGGGAGCACGAAGGCGTGCACGGCGAGATAGATAGTGAGTGCGATGGCGAAATTAGGGATAAATTCCGCCACTCGCTTGCCGAACCGCCCGTTCGCCCCACTGGTGAAACGAATCCGCCGCGCTCTGGTAACCCGAACTCGCCCGTTTCGCAGCGCTGGAGCCACCGCCCGCAGAAACGCTAGGGGGAGTCCCCGTGCCTCTAAGGTTGCTTCCGGCGCTAGCAGACAAGCTAGCGGCGACTCGGATTGGAGAATAAGTAGGCTGCTGAGAGATCGGTAATTTCTTCGGAGAGATTAAAGCCTTTGACAGTGCCCCGGACGAAGCTTCGCTGACACAGCTGGTGGAAATCCACGGCTGCGTGCGAACCCGCCTTAGCTCGCAATCGGGGACGGAGAGCGGGGAGACGCTCAGAGAGGACAGACGAAGGCTCGATGACGTGGCTTGCTCCAGGGATGACGTGGCTTGGACCAGAAATGACG